TGTTACTGTGTACAGAAGGCAGGTTATTCCAGTTTGGTTGTCGAAGAAAGTAGACACTGCTGCAAATGCTGTGGGTTAATCAAAATAAGTAACAATGAAAATGGTGTGGGGTTTTTTTTTTTTTCCTTTTTTTTTCTGTATAATCCCTAAGGAAGACTTCCAAATTGGGATAAGGAATATGAGAAGACCCAAGGTCAAGTACTGATTAGATGATGCTTGCTGGTCCACTATTGAAGATAGTGGAGCACCTATGTTGAACACAAGGCAAGATTTTCAGAGGCGGTGGAGAGCTGGGAGCCTGAAACACTACATTACAAAACCTGAAACAAGCATTAAAAGGAGACTCAACTCCAAGGGTACTCAAGCTGATATTCAAGGCTCTCTTAAAAAAAAAAAAAAAAAAGAGCCTTTTTTTTTTTTTATTTTGGAGGAGGCAAGACTGTGCCAGGTGCGAGTTTCACCTGGGGTAGTTCTTTCCTGAATCACTTACATGTTGCCCACATCCACACAACCTGCCATTCCCAACATCTCTTCTTTTTATGTAGTCCAAATTAAACAGCAGCCTTATACATTGCAGTTTCAAGTGTCAAAGCAGCTTTCTAGAGGTGTAATTCATGACAGAGACAGTAAGTTACACAGTTAAATTACCTTTAGGCCCTCAGACAAAGATTTCTAGCTAAATTTTCTCTTACAGTTTTTGAAGAGTTTTGAACTGTAAACTGTCACTTCCAGAGAGTGACTGGTTTTCTTATCTTGGGCACCCATGTGTACATGGTTYAATTCATATTTGTGTTTTAAGGCAGAAATACCTTTCTGACCCAAAGTTTGAGAGTTAGACGTCAATGGCCYTTCAAGTATCCTTTATGAACAGGCAGGGTGCAGCCACATTACCATTGTTGTCGTGGTCAGGATTGAATTTTTGAGGTGAMTCTCCTCCCTGTTGCACTTTGTACATACTGCTTTTTATTGAGAAGCAGCCTTGGGGGTGCAGTTAGGATTCCTTTTGGGTGAAACTGAGCCAATTTCCTCCCTGTGGGTGCAGACCTGCAGCGCTTCAGCTTCACTTGGGTCTTCAGCATATGGCATCGGAGTCCCAGAACCTGAGCCTCAGCACCAAGGGGTTTGCCCTCCATCCTCTCTTTTCGGATTGTGGCTTAAGTCTTGCACCAGTCTTACAAATTCACATGTGATCGAGTATTTACTATTTTGCTCTTTAAATGCCAGTGAAATAAAAAAGCAGGCTACCTTGAGATCTGCCTTCTGACTGGATATCTTATTCTCAGTTTTCAGTAACTTGAATGCAAGTTACCTTATTGTTTTGCACAGTGTTTGTGTGGAGCTTTAGCTTTTTTTTTTTTTCTATCTGTCTCTTTTGATTTTTGTATCTGTCCCTTTTGATTTTTTTCATTTGTAAGCTCATTACAAATAATGGAGTGCTGTGGCATAGCTGCTTTACCACCAGTTATTTTGCAGGCACATCTGTAGTTGATTTGCAGGCACATTTGTAGTTGATTTTTTTTTCGCTGTTCCATGCTAGGATTGCCCAGACCTCCGTAAGAACTTTGACTGCAATCCCTGTGCATCTTCTTCACGCTGTTTTATGTGCCTGACCTCTCCTCCTCTTACCTGAACACTCCCCTCACCCTTTGCATGCACACACAGGCACCTCTCTCCTCTTTGCAAGGCTATAACTCATGTCCCGTTTTCTTATGCCAGAGATGAGATTAAATATTTTTTCTGGGGCAAGAGATTTTCTCATTGTTAGTATGAATGCAAATAGTCCTTGTTAATACTGAGCTATTACTGTAAATACATTGCACTCTTGTTCTCAATTAGAGAATTGGTTATGCAAATGTTATATTAAAAGAGGAAAAAGCCCTGGTGCGTCTTAAATCACGCTCTGTGTGTGTGCAGACATGTGTGCCATTCCTTCTTGCCTAGGAGAAAGGTATCTGTGCTCCTGACATGCAGACTCTGTAGACATCAGCATGCTAAGAGTGCTGCTCTGCGTGACCTGAAATTGGCTTTGAGTGCTAATTGGATCCATGGCTTTGAGAGAAGGGGCTGGAAAACATTGGTCTCTGCTTTTCTAAGGTGCAGAAAGCAATCTGCCACTTCATGGGTGCGGTGATAGAGTAGGTGCCTCTGAGCTTGTGGGGGCATCAGTTGCTAGGGCAGAAACTGTTTTCTATCTATTTGCTAATGCCTCATTTACCTAGTTGTACTTTTTTTTTTTTTTTAATCTTTATGTGTAGAAACTGTCATACAGTGAAATGAGCAATAAACTTGAATCCAAAAATGTCTGTAGACTGCTCCTCTTCCGCTGCATGAGTTTGGGCAGTTCATCTGGGTATCTCTTCCCCATCAAAATAGTTGCCYGCTCTTGCACTTCATGGCATGTGATGACAAGGTAGGGGCACTCGACCCCATGCTATAAAACCCATTCCACGTGCATTTGCCGTTGGCTTCTTCAATGTGTCCTCTTCTTTGGAGCTTCTGTTGGAGATGGACACCTTCACCATTATGGGACAGACGGAGAGGATTGCCCAGCAAACACTGCGATCCCTCACTCAGGTGGCTGCGGGTCTGCTGAGAGGTGCATTGCCTTCTGCAGCAGCTGCAGCTGCCTTGCAGCCCGGCCACCTCCTGCCGTGAGCCCATCACAGCGACACGGCGGAGAGGAGCCTCCCTTGGGCATCGCACACCGGAGACCCTCGGAGCCGCGTGCGCCCTTGGCCGTGGCCGTTGTCTTCTGACATGGGGCTTGGCTCTGTTGCTGGTTTTAAAGCCTCTGTGGCGACTACTCTCCTGCAGTGTAAGGGTTGCTGGGAAATTAGTCTGTATCTGTTGAGGCTTGAGGTGATCTTCAACAGGCAGTTCTGGGGAAGTGGGCGATAAGATAAATCACGTCTGCATTAAAGTGTGGCTTTGTTTGTGGGTCGGGTCTGCCAATCCAGTCTAAACTTAAGTTGGATTTAGACAAGACTGTCTGGTATGGATAGGGGAAGCAGGAGCATGAAATTCAAGCAGGTAAGTAATAGCTTGTACATTTCTGATTGCCAGTAAAAGGTAAAAAGCTTCATATTGSCTTGAGCATTTCCTGTGTTTGAAATGACTGAGTGTTTTTGGCTATTACCTAACAGCCAAGATAAATTGGAAAATAAATTATTATTTCACAACAACAAAAAAATGAGTTCTATTCTGGGAATAAAAGGAGAGAGTAATAATTGAAGTCCTTTCTGGGAGGGGAGGAGAAAGAAGTGCTCTAAAATTTCTTTTTTAAAATTATTTCTTTTTTGGTGAAACCGCAAGCTTGCAAGGCGTGTTGATATTGCTTTATAGATATTTCTTAACTCTATGAACAAAAAGATTTTTTTTTCCAAAAGTTACTTTCTCCTCTCTACTAGGTGCTATCCCATTTAAAATCATGCTGGTCTTAGCTTTTATCTTTGTGTAAGAATTTTACTTAGTGCAGTTATGGAAACGATCTCTTCTAGCCTGATTGTTTTCTCAAATTTAATCCAAAGAGAGCTCAGTTTAATACTAGAGGTGAGCTCTATTCCCCAGAGCAGGAAAAATGGTCGGTCTCTGCCCAGCGGAAATTACAATGCAGAGCGAGTGCATTTGGACTCCTCTGCTCGGCTCCTGGTGCTCGGGGAAAGATCTAAGATAACAGATAACTGCAAGTAAATGATGTTACAGAAGAACAGCACTCATTAAAATGGTGTGTATTCCAGTTTGAGGACTCTTTTTTTTAATGTTGGTAAAAATTACGTATTCCTCTTGAGCTGGTATTAGTATTACATTTCTTTTCCCTGTGCCCTTCCTCCCTGCAACAGGAATGGGGAGAGATCTCCGAACAAAYATTTCTGTGAATTTTTGCAGCCTTGCTTCCAACTGTGCTAGCTCTCCAGCTTTATGRATCAGGGGCTGTTTTACTGCTCTGTCACAGTGTTTTCCTTAGGATGGAACAAGCTGAAGCTCTCCCTTGGAACACAAATTGCTTCTGAGGCAGAACAACAGAAAATCACCTGTCTGACGTGGATGTCCAAGTATCAGTTTTATAGTTCRTGGACTTCTGGGGTCAGATGTCAACAAGGCACCTAAACAGGCTGTTCTGGCAGAGTAGGCTAAAARTGGAGTTCCCTCCAAATACTTGGAGGAAAGTAAATGAAGATTAATAGCAAGGGCAGGGCTTTCCAATGAGAGTCGGGGAGACACAGCACATTGGATCTTGCTTTTCTTTTTACTTTTCTCTCTACTTTTTTTTTTTTTTTCTTTTCCTCCTTTCCTCTGGGGGGCCCCTTTCCCCCCAGCTGCATTTTGGAGACTTACTACAAATAGCGTTTTTATGTACAGCCTTTTATCTTTAGCTGTTAGTCCGTGGTAGGGAAAGGAAGTGGCGATGGGCGTATGATTAAGAGTAGTGCTTGACATCCAGAGGGACACAAAACGCGATCTTCAGTATCATCGCGGCCTACCGGGCGCTCATTCCGTTTGGGCCAGGGGCCCACAGTGCCGCGGCATGGAGGGCTGCTCCGTTTCAGCGGTATCCTGCTTTGGGCAGCAAAGGTGACGGGCCGTTTGTGTACGGCCTGTGGYAGCTGCCTCCGCCTTGTCCTGCGGCCTGCTCCCGTCTCCTGCGCTGGGGACCTGGGGTGGCAGCAGCTGGTGGTACCGTGTTTCAAGCCAGATTTGCTGCTGCACATGAAGCCTCTTTTCTGCCCTACAAGCTTCCACCTCGGCTCACTGGCCTCTTCTCCTTGGGCTGTAGCAGGAATCGTCATACAAGCTGTTATGGCAAATCATTGCAGCTCGTTTTGGCCTTTGGAGAAAATGGGCTCTCTGCATGTTTGAAAGAGGCAGGATGTCAGTGGGACACTTTTCAAAAGGCTGGCACTATCAATGGGGGTAAGATACTTCACTCATGGCCCAGAGGTCCTCTGAGCAAGTAGTCAGGGAGGCAGTTCTGCCTAYTGCAGTTGTGTTATCAGGGAGTCATGGCAGGAGAAAGCGGCCTTCCTTCTGGGACAATTCAGGGAAGGTTTCTGAAACGTACTCTTGTGGGCAGTGATCAGAGTAAGTCAGTAAATATAGTGTATAGGGAAGCAGTTTCTCTCACCATTCTTGGCTTTTTAAAAAACCAGACCTTCCAGATCTTGAACTTGCCRGTTACTATGTGCTTATTTGTGGCCTTATGAAAGCCTTGTGGTTTACTTAGGTGCATTTGAAATGCCTTTTTATTTATTTATTTAGAGGTGTGAGTRAGAAGATGGAAGATCAGGTGATTGCTGTGCTCGAAAGATATTGTTTTAATCCTTTCACATGGATCTTAATCCATGTAGTGCTGATGAGTGCTAGTGGAGGGGTATTCCCGTTTTCAGCCAGTGCTGGAGACCTGGCCTCTCTGARCTGTCTTAGATGGCGTGGAGATTAGAGCAATCCAGGAGGACTGCAGTTCGACAGCATTTCCGAGGCTTCACTTAAGATGCAGTATGCGTTTCTTCATCCTGATAGAGATAATGGGTTTTAAGCAATTACACCCAGGCTAATTCCTTTTGATAAGAGCTCTACATTATCTAAAAAAAGAACTCCAGCCGCCTGGAAGAGAACAATGTAAATGTCTCTCTCAGGGACTCTCTCCTTTGCTCCTCCCTGGTACCTGGAGATGACGGGCAGCAGAGCTCTCAAGCCATGAAAACCTGCTGGTAGCTGCCCTGGCCGAGTGTCGCGGCTGGGGAGCTGCAGCAGTGCTGGCRCCCGGCGGGGCTCCCCGTGGTACTGCTGCTTAGGTGCTGGTCTAATGGCCACGGTGCGGGCGCGAGGAGTTCCGTGGGGTGCCTTCAAGGGAGCTCGTTCCCTCCCCGCACCCTGGGCGGTCTGACTGGGAGGTGCAGGTTRCTGCTGCTGTTGGTGCCACTCTACGTTTTATAGTTTGCAGACAGCAGTGAGAGCCTCTCAATTTGTTTAGGACAGATCCCAACTCCTCCTGTGTGTTTGTCTACATGGGGCAGAAGGGTGCGGTGCTGCCGCATGTTGTGCAGGGATGGTAGGAGATCTTAATTAGGTTTATTTTTCCCTTTTTAAAAGCAACAAAGGAATATCAATAGTTAGCTGAGATTCTGGTGCTTCTTAAGGAAATTCCTTTTAATATGCTTAATTTTGCTGTTTCTTTCTCTTTCRTATTTGTACATTTTATATATGTGCACACAATGTGGGGAAGGAAATTTAATTGGTTGCATTTAAAGCGAGGGGGAATCTCAAAGCAACACGCTGCTTGCACAAGCGTGCCACTTCTGGGAAAATCACATATATATGGTAGTTGTGTTATTAAGGAATTTTTATAGTATAGGCATGATGGTTAAAGCGTTTCCTTTGGCTCTCAGTCACATAGGGCATTCTTGATATGGAACTGCCTAATGATAATTGGAGCTGGGAGGAGAGGCAGGGAAAAGAGGAGGACTAGAGACGGGGATTATATTCTCTCCTGCTGTTGTGCTTCTCTTCTTCCCTAGGGAAGAGCCTGTGAATGTGCGGCCTGCTGCCTGTCCCTTCACCTGTCTGCTGGCTTAAAAAAGTCACTGAATACCTCCCACCGGAGGCCTGAGCTGCTCCCTTTCAAGGCAGGGAAGAGGATTTGTGTGGATATGTCTCCTCAGCTGATCAAAAAAGATGCAAAAATCAAATCTTTTTTTTCTGTCTCCGTTCTGTAAAATGGCTTCATGCATCACAGACACTGGAGTTAAGCAGCGYGGTAGAGCAGTGGTAGCTTTGGCATTTTGCTAGAAATAGGAGGCAGAGGACACAGCTTCCCTGGTGGGGAATCTGTTCCTGATTCTTCACTCTGACACAAGAAGCGCTGTCCCTGCTCGGCCTCTGCATTTACCCAGTGCTGTGGTTAAGTGGCGCATAGACTGAAAATAAATGAAGAGGTTCAGAAAGGGAAAATCATTACCACCACTTGCAGAGTTGACTGCCTTTTTTTTTTTTCCATGTCATAAACTGTTGTGAATTTGAAAGGACGGATGTATTTCCTTAATGATATTGTTTAGTTGGCAAATGGAGCAACTTTTTGTTTGGAAAGCTCTACCGAGTTGCTTTTGGGATCAAAGGCCTCAGCTAATTTGTCCTTAAGCCTCCTGTAACTGCTTGGTTGAGGAGCTGGACTGGATGTTCTCACTCTTCCTGATGCAGCGACTCAGGGTGCTTAGTCTGAGGCAATTTACACATTCCTCAGCTCTTGCTTTTTCGCCTTTAATTGGCTTCCCACTGCATGTCACGATGCATTTTGCCTGGGATGGCAGACACAGTCAGCTTCCTTCACTAGGCTGCTAAGAGAACATGCTTTTGTGTGGGACAGAGCTGTTGAAGGCAGGCTGGAGAAAGCACCGTATGCAAGAGTGTCAGAGGCTCCACAAATAACCTAAGTCTTGTTCTTTCTTTCATAAATAGATAYATAGGTATAAATCCAATAGTAACATTCCTAACATGAGAAGTAGTCCTCACCAGCCTTTTCTTTCTTGAGGAGCTCTGTAACTTGTGAAGAAGCAAAGCAGGTCRTCTGTTCTGTAGATCCTACCTGATTTTGCTGCTTTGCTTTCTTAGTTATCCTACATACAGATTCACAGAATTCACA